GCCCCCCCATGAAAACATTTCCGGCCACAGGGCTGCCCCAAAGGCTCCTGGGAACTGTAGTTTAGCGAGGGCACTGAGAACTCTTTGTCAGAGACACTTCCCCGCACCACTGTGTTTCCCAGAGTTTCCTGGGCAGACGGAATGACTGTCAAAGCAACATAAGATCATAATGCGAGTAATGCTCCCTCCAAGCTGTGGAGTCTTCTGAGCAGATATTCCACTTTGTGAGCTGCTGGCATGAAAGTTGTGAGCGAGCGATTTGGCGACTGCACAAATTAGTTTGCTCTGGAGCCATCCTTCCTGAACTAAGACAGAAATGTGTGAGCCGGAGGCTAAAAACCTGTGAGCTAGCTCACACGGATAACTCAGCATAGAGGGAACACTGAATGCGACCACACCTAAACTGGTCTGATGGGGGGCAGTAAAATGAATGTTGGGGGGAAATGCTCAAAAGGGTCTCTCAGGTGCTGAACAGCTGCTTTAGAGTTCTAACTGGCCCTGTGAAAGAAAGAAAGCAGCGACCTAACAGATGGAAACTTGGAAAACAAAGGGACTGAACAAAGAATCCCAAAATAACTTCCAGGGGAAAACAATAGCCATGCTGCAGCAGCTTTTCCCAAATTCCTGGCTTCAGCTCTCCCCCGCGCCTGCCAGCGTGCTGCCTAGACGTGCCTTTAAAAGGAGGACTGTTGCTATTGCCGGCCCGGCATGAGCCATTGTTAAATCCCCCCCAACATACCACAGGTCTCTTTGTCCTGCAGTCCACAGCTACCCATCTCAGGAGGTAACATACCAAACATTCCGAAGCCTTCAGGTCTCCCTTTCCATTTGCAACTGTTTGGGTGCAGCACGGATTTGGCACTGCTGAAGAGCTGGCCGCTTCCCAGGCATACAATAAAGCCTGTGAAAGAGCAACATGGAAAATAGAATTTATGATGGCAGGAACGTTCATACGCAATCCCCCCCCCAGCCTTGTCTGTCCAGTGTGCTGCTTCCTCTCCCAGGCTCTTGTCTACAAGAGCCCATGCTGCAATAAATTGTTTCGCCTCTTAACTTGATGTCTGCGTTTCTGCTTTTGTGCCACTATCGACTAAACACAGCTGCTCTTCCAGAAGCGGCCCTCGGACTCTCTGGTCTGCCGGAGCAGAGGAAGTAGGGATGTGACTCAGAGAAAAACATGCCCCAAGCAGAGTGCCGTGTATGTTCTGGCTCCCAAAATAATCATGAGCGGACATAAACCCACTAGAATTCTCTGGCCTGGATAAATGATGCAAGTAAGCGTTGGCGTACATTTGGCAAAATTTATTCTGCTCTCGCCAGTCAGGAAGGGGCAAAGATCTGTGCCCACCCGTTGGAAATCCCGCTAGAAACGCCATTCGCGTTTTTGAGATTTTGCCAAGCATTTCCAAAGCACTTTCAAAGACTATTCATGTGGTTATCAGGACTAAAAAATTGCTTTGTTGTTTTGTTTTTATTATAGCGGAATGCTCAGAATCGTGAATTTTGCACACCTTCCTGGTACCAAATTGCCAAGCATTTTCAAAGTCTGTTCATGCGGTTATCAAGACTAAAACCTGCTTTGTTGTTTTGGTTTCCTGTAGTGGAATGCTCAGAATTCTGAATTTTGCCCCCTTCCTGGTACCAAAAATCATGTGGATTGCACGATCCCACAGAAACACTGGCTATTATGGAGACGGCACATACCGAGACAGAACATTCGTCTGTCTGTCTCACTCAGCCAGGTTACTTGGATTGCTGATAGCTCTTCAACACCAGAGAAGCCCAGACTAACTCACAGAGATGTTGTGATGATAAAACAGAGGAGAGGAGAAACAGAGGAGAGGAGAGCCAGTTTGGTGTAGTGGTTAAGTGCGTGGACTCTAATCTGGGAGAACCGAGCTTGATTCCCCACTCCTCCACTTGCACCTGGCTGGATGACCTTGGGCAAGCCATAGTTCTGATAAGAGCTGTTCTTGAAAAAAGAGCAGTTTCTGTCAAGAGCTCTCTCAGCCCCACCTACCTCACAAGGTGTCTGTTGTGGGGAGGGGAGGGGAAGGGGAAGGAGATTGTAAGCCGCTCTGAGACTCCTTTGGGTAGTGAAGGACGTGGTATAAATCCAAAAATCCAATCTCTTCTCTTCTTCTTCTTCTCTATGTAAGCCACCTTGGGTCCCCATTAGGGGAGAAAGATGGGGTATAAATGAATTAAATAAATAAAAATTAAAACTTAGATGGCACACACAATGTTTACCAGTTAGCGTGGGACCTTCAGCCATGTCAGGATCATTTTGACCTTGTGGAGCAGAAAGGGCCAAAAAAGGACTTGCCAACTCTCCAAACGACAGATTCGTCAGCACCGTTCCCTGATGTAAAGTTTTAAACAATAATCAAGGGAGCCAGTGCGGACAGGATGAAGGCACAATCCAAAGTGTTCACTGCACTGCGGCAGGGGTATTTCACCACGACGACTGCTGAGTGGAGAAAGCTAGGCAAACTCTTCTCTTTTTGGCATCAGCACGTAAGCGCCAGAGATTGATGGCAGAAAGTCACACTGGGGGGGAGAGGCTTCCGGGAGGAAGTGAAGCTGAAAAAAATTTCAATTATTCCGCGAAACATTCCAAGCATATGTCTGGCGACTCAACTCCCACGCACTCCCCTGTGGGATGACAATCACTTTCCGGCTCCATGGATAGAATTTTTTTTTAAAAAAACCCTTAACCTGAACACACAACCCAACAAAAGATGGAGGGAATGTGGCTTCCTCAAAAGTGCCTTTGTCCCCCCCAAACTCTGAGCACATTTCTGGGCGATGGGGTGGCCTTTTCCCTTTTCTTTTTGGTGAAATGTATGGTGTGGAAATAGGAACAGCAGGGTAGAGCGGACTCTGTCCCTTGCAGCATTCAAGCTCATTTCAGGACAGGCCCTGGGCTAGCTCGTTTCCTAGGGAACCAAATCAAACCAGTACATCAAATGCAGAGGAGGGGAGTCCTGAACCCTCTTAACAGTTGTGCAGAAAAGGGCATGTTAGCAGGTGCTGTTTGCTGCGTAACCTGTCACAACCCCCCCCCTCTGCTTCTACATGGATATTAAAGCCCCATTCTTTCCCCACTGTCAGCTACCCTTGCCCAGTACCAGGTCAGCCCACAAGTATATCTCCAGAACCTTCTTTCTGTTCTTTCCCCAAATCTCCTCTCTCTCATGAGTTGTGACAGGCACGTCCGCATCCTTCAAGGGAGGCACTCCTGCAGACAGCTCCTACATTCGGATCTGAGGGGCAGACACTTTGTGTGCCGGAACTACCGACCGTGAAATTTAACTTCAGAAATCTCTAACGGGAGATCAGCGGAGTGACAGGGCCCGCTCCGCTCCTGCAGGGGCAGGATTCTTTGCTGAAACCCAAAGCAGCTTCACCCAAAAGTCTCAAAAAGAAAGCACCTGCCACGTTAACATCTGAGGAGTCCTGAGGAACCTTTCCGTTCACACGCAGTTCTTGTGGGCTAACCTCCTTATCATTGGATTCCAGGACTCCCGTTCTTTTTAATCTCCCCGGGTATTCCAGGACAGATTTAGCCTCAAATACAAACTGAATCAGAAAAGATAACACACAAATGCCCCAAACCTGAACTGTGGAGGTTGCCTGATTTGATATCACTTTATTTGCCATATGCAATCTGCTCCCTTCTACCCACAAGGTTTACCTGTTCCAAATGAGAAAGGATTCGTTCTGCTTTTATAACCTTTCCTTGATTTGAAAAACAGAGGCCCCGGTCACACGAGTGGATTTGGGCCGGGAGAGGGACGGTTCGGGGGCGGAGCAAACGGGCGCGATCCCACGGCAACATCTGGGAATCGTTGCCTGTCCGTCCCCGATCCGTCCCTCCCACCCAAAACCCCGCACCAAAAAAGAACCACCTACCTAGGTGGTTCTTCGGAGAAGAGCGCCTCAAGCCCGGCCGTGGAATCGCCGGCGCGTCCTTGCGCCGGTGCATCCCCGGCTCCTGGCCGAACTGCGCATGTGTGAGCATGTGCATGCTATTAAAGGTTTATTTATTGATTGATTGATTGAGTGTGAGCATGTGCAGTTCGCCAGCCTCCCCTTCCCACCATCGCTTTCTCCCCGGCAGCTGATCGTGCCGGGGAGCAACAGCGCCGTGGCTCAGGGGATCCGTGGGATCCCGCCGCGGCGTCTCTAATTCCGTGCGGCTTTTAAAAGCCGTGCTTTGGGCGCTTTTTCCCCTGCCATGTGGCAGGGACCAAAGTGTGGCCTTAGGTGTTTCTGATCCAGAGGTTAAAAACTTGGGATACATGTAAGGAATTTGCACTGAGGTTGTCACTTTGGGCCCGTTTGAGAAAAGAAAGGGAGCATGTATGCCGAAAAAGCCTAGCAGAACTTATACATTAGTGTGTGCCTCTTTTGGGAGAGAGTCGCAGTCCACAGGTTGAAGACGTCTCGCACATGGCAGGTCCCCCCCATTCAAACCCTGCCATCTCCAATTAAAAAGTTCTCGGGTAGCAGTCGCATGGGAAGACCCTTCTCTGCCCAGGACCCTGGGGAGCCATCACCAGTTACCGTAGACAACACTGAACTAGATGGGCTGAAGTTTGGCCATCGTATAAGGTAGCTCCAGTTTGGTGTAGTGGTTAAGTGCGTGGACTCCAATCTGGGAGAACCGGGTTTGATTCTCCACTCCTCCACTTGCACCTGGCTGGATGACCTTGGGCAAGCCATAGTTCTGACAAGAGCTGTCCATGAAAGGGCAGTTCTCTCAGAGCTCTCTCAACCCCACCTACCTCACAGGGTGTCTGTTGTGGGGAAGGGAAGGGAGATTGTAAGCCACTCTGGGTGAAGGGCAGGATATAAATCCAATCTCCTCCTCTTCCACATGCAAGGAGTTCTTTACTATATAGGCTGGTACCATTTGGGGAGTGACAGGGTGACCGGTTTTAGAAAACTTGCAAGGAGTTTGCCTTGAATTACCTGCATTCTTTCCCCTTTTTCAGCAGCAGCGATCTGGAGTATGAGGTCTACAAAGAGGATTTCCCATACAGGTAGGTTTAGTCTTTTGGTCTCCCTCCCTCAATGTCTACTCTTTCTTATTCTTTGCAGTGTTATTACAGGGAAAGGGGGTGTAATTTTACACATGCCTAGGCCTCAGTATGTACCCCCTCCTTGAATCTGAGGTGCCGTATTGGAGGAATTGTCGAAATGGCCTCTCTCCCTCTTCTCCTCTGTAGAGTCTATGAATACCAGAAGATCCCTCCTCTTATCAGTCACATCCCTGTCAAGACCAAGCGAAGCCACCTAGGGGCTGGGGGCAAGGGCCCTCACACAGGGTTGAAAAGCAGCGGCAACTCCATGGCAGGCCGTACAAAGTGTGAGTGTTTTGGGGGAAAGACTCTGGAGAAGGGCTTTGACATCAAGGTCCCCCTTCCACTTGGACATCATCACTGTTAGTCTGCTCGGCACGAGTGCTCTTTGTTGCATCCTGTCACACCCCGTCTCTGTTGCGGTTTGCTTGCGGCAGCGAAAGCCTCTGGCACAGATTGGGCGGACTTGGTTAGGTGACATGGAATGTCCACAAACATTCCAGTTGCTTATTGAACGTAACTGTGAGCATGCAGTCTGTCTTTTCTGAGAGAAGGGAGGAAAAAGCCTTCAAGAGTGGAGAGGAGACCAAATAAGAATCAGGATGAGGGGTACCGCACATGGTCCATACTGAGTTACAGACGTGAGATAGAGTAGGAAATTGAGCGCCTATTAATGAGATGCTGTCTGAATCAACTAGGAGATGCAGTAGTAATCAGAAGTTTGGAGTGTACCAGTTTTTTACACTAGTCTCAGGCAGTGTTTCCTCTAAGCCAGTTTGGTGTAGTAGTTAAGTGTGCGGACTCTAATCTGGGAGAACCGGGTTTGATTCCCCACTCCCCCACTTGCACCTGCTGATGTGACCTTGGGTCAGTCACAAGCTCTGGCACAGCTGTCCTTGAAAAAGAGCAGTTTGTGTCAGAGTTCTCTCAGCCCCACCCACCTCACAGGGTGTCTGTTGTGGGGAGGGGAAGGGAAAGGAGTTTGTAAGCCGCTCTGAGACTCCAAGTGAAGGGCGTGGTATAAATCCAATCTCTTCTTCTTCTTCTTCTTCTAAGCTGAGTTAGTGTGAGCTAGCTCACAGTTCTTTAGCCTCCCGCTCACACATTTTTCTCTTAGCTCAGGAAGCTTAGTCCAGAGCAAACTGATTTATGCGGTCGCCAAATTGCTTGCTCACAACTTTAATGCCAGTAGCTCACAATTGCTCAGAAGACTCCACAGCTTAGAGGGAGCACCAGGAGCTGGATATGCATGCCATTTAAAAGTCAGGAAGCTCTGCCCTGACCTGGATAGCCCAGGCAAGCCCAATCTCATCAGATCTTGGAAGCTAAGCAGGGTCGACTCTGGCTAAGTACTTGGATGGGATACCTCTTTTGAAACACCCGAGGTGGGAGGTAGGTACAGGCTTTATTCAGCCACCTCTCTGAATATCCTCTAGAAGGGGTCAGTCACCAGAGGTTGCCATGTCTTCCAGGTGCACACACAGTCATGCATGCACACACATGCACATATGAAAAGAAGGGGGGGGGAAAGGTCATGAAGCTCTGATGTTTTTTAAAAATTAAAAGCCATCTTGGGAAGCTGGCATTTGACTATGGGACAGTAGGGGGGGACGTAAAGAGTTAACTGCCCAAGCTGAAACACCCCTACCATTTCTTCTTTCATCCCTGCAGCATCTCAGATGGGTGTTTACTCTTACAAAACATACTATCTGGGACCTTACGGGACACCCACACACACATACCCTTAGCTCAAAGTTGCACCCTCCTTAGGCTACTTTTTGCCTTTTTTAAGAAGTCAGTTGTGGGACACACACGTGTCTGTGGTTCACAAGTTCCCCTTCCACGACAGACGAATGAACCGCGGGCACAACTCTATAGCGTCCCTCCCACCCCCCGGGCCTCTGCAGAGTGACAGTAACATAAACTGTACCCTCCTGTGCCATTCTTTCCTTGCAGTGCGAGCAGAGGAGCTACATTCCATCAAAGGGGAACTAAGCCAGATCAAAGCCCAGGTGGACAGTTTACTGGACAGCCTGGACCGGATGGATCAAAGGCGGGAACATCCAACAGGTGAGGTGGTGGTCTGCATGCATTTAAGAAGCCAGGAGTGTGCGACTGCAGTGTTCATTCTCTTTAAAGCAATTCAGTGTCTTCTACCTTTGTAACACTCTCTTCAGTACGGTACTGTTTTGTATTTGCTTGCATTATTTTTCCAATTCTTCAATCCCAGCCCCACTTAGAGATCTTTGTGGTTTGAGAGAATTGTTTTTAATCAAGAGAGCCAGTTTGGTATAGTGGTTAGGAGCACAGACTCTAATCTGGGAGAAACGGGTTTGATTCCCCACTCCTCCACATGCAGCTGCTGGTGTGACCTTGGGTCAGTCATAAGTTCTCTCAGAGCTGTTCTCTCTAGGCTAGTTCTCAAGCGATCTCTCTCAGCCCCACCTACCTCACAGGGTGTCTGTTGTGGGGAGGGGAAGGGAAAGGAGATTAAAAGCCGCTCTGAGACAACTTTGGGTAGTGAAGGGCGGGGTGTAAATCCAATCTCCACCTCCTCCTCCCTTCCGTTATAGGAGATTAGAAGCCGCTCTGAGACAACTTCGGGTAGTGGACAGGGTATAAATCCAATCTCCTGCACCAGCACCTTCTCCTCCTCTTCTTTTGTTTTTAATCATATTTCATAATCTGCCTTGAGTCATTATGTATATATATATATACCTGACGCTTTACGCTTTACAGAATAACATATGCAAAATAATAATAACAAATAAAGTCCCTGCTCCAGAGAGATTGCAATCTAACTGTTTACAGTGTGGGAATAGCAACAGAAGGTGAAAAAAGAGAGAAAACTAGCCAGTTACACGTCGTGGTGGAAAGGATGCAGTGTTGTCCATAAGAGAGTATACAAAATGACTCCGTGTCACAGACACAAATACAGCAGGTGGTCAGAATCTTTCCAATATGCAAGAAAGTTATGGAACTTAGTTTAGAAATATCCAGTTAAATCAAGATTTGGGGCAATTCTGTAGCAGACAAATCCTGCTTTTGGGCAGAGTAAATGCCGACCATCAATAATATCTGTTATGTTTTTATCATGCCCTTCTTTCAAGGAAATCAACATTTTATTGATGTGTTTAAATGTTTTTATTCCACCTTCCCCACCAACTGTGGCGACTCAAGGCAGTGTACAAAGGCCTACCTTGCAGGATGACACAGATAATTTTCTCCATCTTATCTTCACAACAGCCTTATGTGGTAAATTAGGTTGAGAGACAGATCGGCCCAAAGTCATCTAGTGAACTTGAAGACATGATGTTGCTATGCTATGCTGAGTCAGATCCCTTGGTCTAGCAAGGTCAGTATTGTCTACTCTGGTTGGCAGCGGCTCTCTGGGGGTCTCATGTGGAGGTCTTCCACATCACCTACTGCCTGGTTCAACTGGCAATGCCGGGGATTGAACTTGGGACCTCCTGCATGCCAAGCAAATGTTCTACCACTGAGCCATGGCCCCTCCCTCAGCCAGATTCATGACCAGTGTTCCCTCTAAGCTGAGTTAGTGTGAGCTAGCCCACAGTTTTTTAGCCTCCAGCTCACACATTTTTCTCTTAGCTCAGGAAGGAGGGCTCCAGAGCAAACTGATTGATGCAGTAGCCACATCTCCCGCTCACAACTTTAATGCCAGCAGCTCACAAGACTCCACAGCTTAGAGGGAACATTGTTCATGACTGAGGGAAGTTTTGAATCACAGTCTGCCCTGTGCCACAGCAACACCCTGTCACATGACTGTGGCTCTTGATATATAGACAACCTCCAGTTTAAAGGATGAGGCAGAAGAAGAAGAAGAGGAGATTGCATTTATACCCCACCCTTCACTTGGAGTCTCAGAGCGGCTTACAATCTCCTTCCCTTCCTCTCCCCACAACAGACACCCTGTGAGGTAGGTGGAGCTGAGAGAGCTTTGAGAGAACTGCCCTTGAGAGAACAGCTCCGAGAGAACTGTGGCTTGCCCAAGGTCACCCAGCAGCTGCATGTGGAGGAGTGGGGAATCAAACCCAGTTCTCCCAGATTAGAGTCCGCGCTCCTAACCAAACTGGCTCTCAGGCGATGTGAAAGACCTCTGCTGGAAATCCTGGAGAGGTGCTGCCAGTCTGAGTAGACAGTACTGACCTTGATGGCCCGATAGCCTGATTCAGTATGAGACAGCTTCCTGTGTCCCACTTCTGAACTGCTTTCCTTCCACAGGCTCCAAGGACGGGAAGAAGAAAAACCTCTCTGGTGGGGAGTCCTCGTACGCAGCAGGGGATACACCCCGGAAGAAGGAGAGTGCAGCGAATGATGGACACACCGCTACGCAGGAGCTCGACAGTGCCGATGAGAGCACAGACACTGAGGAGGCGGTAAGGAGATGACTCCAGGCTTTGCACAGCCAGAATGAAACTGCAAAGATAGACAGGACAGTTAGAACTGCTGTTTTTCTCTCTCTCTCATGGAACTTCAAGCATGCCGAGTATCTCCAGAACCAGGTGCCGTGATGATATTCTGTGCTCTACCGTGCAGACACAATGAACCCCATCAGCCACATAGCCACCAGATCAAACCACAGCCTAACTTAACCAGAACATCTATGGCTGTCAGATTCCCACACAGAACAGAATTGCCCACTCACACAGAACATTTGCCATCCTCCTAGATCCTTTGTGGCTCTTATGGAGGGTGTGCGTGTGTGTGTGTTAAATGCCGTCAACTTGCTTTTGACTTATGGCGACCCTATATTTCGTGTCCTCCAAAACGTCCCATCGTTAACAGCCATCTCGGATCTTGCAAACTGTGGGCCATGGCTTCTTTTACTGAATCAATCCATCTCATATTGGATCTTCCTCTTTTCCTGCCGCCTTCAACTTTTCCTAGCCTTATTGTCTTTTCTAGTGACTCTTTTTTTGTGGGGGTATTTGTGTGTGTGTGTGTCTGCATACCTGGAAGTTGTGGTGACTTCTGGTGGCCCCTAGTGGGGTTTGGATGTTTCAGAGAGGTGGCTCGACAGCCTGCCTCCGCATCCCGAGCCCCGGTATTCCTTGGACGTCTCCCATCCAAATACTTGCCAGGGTCGGCCCTGCTTAGCTTCCAAGATCTGACGATCGGGCTTGCCTGGACAATCCAAGTCAGGGCTTTTCCAGCGACTTGTCTTCTCATAATGCTGCCAAAGTACGATAGTCTCAGTGTAGTCATTTTGGCTTCTAGGGATAGTTGAAGAAGAGATTGGATTTACACCCCCCTCCCTTCACTTGGAGTCTCAGAACAGCTTACAATCTCCTTTCCCTTCCCCTCCCCACAACAGACGCCCTGTGAAGCAGGTGGGGCTGAGAGAGCTCTCTTGAGAACTGCCCTTGAGAGAACAGCTCTGAGAGAACTTGTGACTGACCCAAGGCCACACCAGCAGCTCCATGCGGAGGAGTGGGGAATCAAACCCATATCTCCCAGATTAGAGTCCGCGCTCCTAACCACTACACCAAACTGGCTCTCAAGTTCAGGCTTGACTTAGTCTAGAAACCATTTACTTGTCTTTTCGGAGGTCTGCAGTAGCTGTAAAACTCTCCTCCAACATCCCATTTCAAAAAAAACTATCTTCCTGCCAGCTTGGGGGGGGGGGGGCATGTTTGTGAGCTCGCTTTCCTCTCGTCCTTTCCTCCCAGCATGGCTAAATAGATTGCCGCCCAGTCCACAGTAACCAAGGGCAAATTATGTCTTTGGAACTAACAGAGTGGAGCCCACCCCCCCATGATTCCATTAGCCGAGAGCCTGCTCCTCCCGAGTTGAGACAAATTAAAGGCATGCAGAGTCTAATTAAGCTAGCCCGGCAGCTTTGCATCTCATTATGTGCCCCAGCACACTCATACGTACACCCCACCCCCAAGAAGTTTGGATCTAGGAGCTGGCAAAACAGCTCTATGCCCTTCCCTCCCCTGTGCTAATTCCACTGGGTACACAGGGAGGGAGGGAGGGAGGGTGGTATTAAAACATCCCCGAAGGTGATAAAGACAGGCTCCATTTCCCTGTGCAGCAGGAACAAACAAGCAAACCCAGAACTGCGTGGAAACACGGCTTCCGCACCAAATTACGTGACTCATGCTGCTATGCAGTTTAAACTAAAGATGCTCTTTTTCAGCACTTCTGCATTCTCTCTCTCAGCATCTTTCCATTTAATTGCGACAGCATAACAAACCCCGCCATTATTCCTGTAACAATAGCCTTTATTTATTTATTTAACGTAAGTACTGCCTTTATACCCCTTTCTCTTCAACGAGGAGCGAAAATGGCTTACGTTCGTCCTCCTGTCCTCCATTTTATTCCCACGCTAACCGACAGTCTGATTCAGAATAATCAGTTTTATGTCTTCATAGGGCTGCCAACCTCCAGGTGGGGCCTGGAGATCCCCCACTAATTTACAACTGATCTCTAGACAACAGAGATCAGATCCCCTGGAGAAAATGGCTGCTTTGGAGGGTGGACTCTATGGCACTGTGCCAGGCTGAGGTCCCTCCCCTCCCCAAACCCTGCCTGCCCCAGGCTGCACCCCCAAACCCCCCAGTTATTTCCCAACCCAGAGCTAGGAGCTCTATGTGTTCAAGTGAGGAAGGCTGAGAGAGTGACTAATTATTAATATAATTATCGTATGGCAGTGTGTGTAGTATAGCCAGGAGATCCTAAGCTTGTCTGGCAGCCAGAGGTTCTAGCTCTTTTAGCATTATGCACCACTAGGTGGCGAGCTAGACTTGTTAAGGCAAGAGACGTTTCAGAGGTGGTTTCCCATTGCCTGCCTCTGTGTCATGCCCCTGGCATTCCTTGGCGGTCTCCCGTCCAAATACTAGCCAGGGCTTACCCTGCTTAGCTTCCGTGATCGGGCTAGCCTGGGCTATCCAGGTTGGGAAGAGAGTGAGTACCCCAAGAAGAGCATGGGGATTTGAACCTGGGTCTCCCAAATCTCAGTCTCACATTCTAACCACTACACCACACTGTCCACGCTGCTAATTCTTCTCTCAGGCGGGGGCAGAGAATGGGGTAGAACGCTGAAGGCCATGCCGAAAATGTATAATGAACCAAAAGGACCGCGGAAAGGGCTGCTGCTCCAAGCCATTCCCTCCTCCCTTCCTTCCCACATCTAATTTAACACAACATATGACATCATCATGCCACGTGGCACCTGACCCGCACCACCCAATCAGCCCTTGCACATATGGAGTTGCTGGCTTGGCCATGTTCCCTTGCTCATATGGATAAGTGGGAAGCGTCTCAGTCATCCTAGATCAGAAGACATGCAGGTAACATCCGTGAGTCTTCACTGCCCGTCTAGCTGTGCTCTGTCCCTAGATGTAGAGGCAAAAAGCCGCCGCCCAAAGGGGGAACCCCTTCAGAGGCAAGCCCACAACCAGCAACCTGGTCCCAGTAGTGGACATGTAGTATCCCCGCAGTAAAAACTCATCCGTCCTAACAACTCTATCTTTACCAAGGGCACCCCAGCGCCTCACATTTCCAGGGGCCAGAAAGTAACGGCTCCAAGCACAAAGTCTGGTCAAAAACTCAGCTGAAGCAAACCCTTTGCGTAAGTACAAGAGAAGTCCCCAATGGTGGGCAGTCCCACCTCCACCCCCATTTTTAAACAAGGATACCACTTTCAGCTTCCTTGCTGAAACCGTTCCAAATTCTTGAGTTTATGAAGGATTTTGGTCAAATACACACAGCGCCCCAGTGTGTATGCGGAGTGTAAGAATCAAGGTCTTCCTTGATTCTACAATCAATAGAAAGATGCTCTGGGATACACGAACAAGTTTTCCGGTTTTTGCTTTTAAGGAAGAAATGGAGCTCTTTGTTAGGAGTTGGACTGTAATTACTTAAGAGAATAGTTTTCAGTTTCCTTTCCCAATGTTTACTAATCCAGAATCATCATAACTAAATTTGAAACTTCTAGGGGTGGAATTGGGAGGGAAGGCATCACAGCGTAGTCGAATCTTGTTTGATCTTAGAAGCTAAGCAGGGTCAGTGCTTGGATGGGAGACCACCAAGGAAGGCTCTGCAGAGGAAGGCAGTGGCAAACCACCTCCAATGCCCCCTCTAAGCTGTGGAGTCTTGTGGGCAAAAATTCTACACTGTGAGCTCCTGGCATTAAAGCTGTGAGCGAGCGATTTGGCTACTGCATAAACTAGTTTGCTCTGGAGCCCTCTTTCCTGAGCTAAGACAAAAAATGTGTGAGCTGGAGGCTAAAAAACTGTGAGCTAGCTCACACTAACCCAGCTTAGAGGGAACAATGACCACCTCTGCTTCTCCCTTGCCTTGAAAGACTCTTGCTGGGGTTGCCAGAAGTCAGTTATGGCTTGACAACACTTATGTGTTTAGTCTTTCATACTCACCTAGAGCCTTCTGATGGTGTTTGGACTTCCATTTGCAATTACCTCTCTGGATCCCAATTTGGTTGGGGACCCTAGAGAGCAGGTTGCATCTAGAAGAACCCCGGGTTCAAACCTGCTTGAGAGACGGAGTTCAACATAACACGGGGAACGGAATTCTTTGCATGTCTATGGAAGGGGAAGATATATAATGGAAACCACTTTGGTACTTGAAACGTTGAGATTATTTATTTCCAGGGCTTTTTTTCTGGGGGAATGTGCTGGAACGGATTTCCAGAACCTCTTTGACAAAATTCTTTTAAAAATGTTTAAAAGTTCATGAGTTCTCAGTATACAGATTGAAAAATTCAGTTCCCTCTTGAGGTCCAGCACCTTTCCAAAACAAAAACAACCCCCCCCCCCTGGATATCCCGCCTCTCTCCCCAATCGGGACCCAAAGTGGCTTACGTCACTTTCGTCTGTTTTATCCTTGCAACCGTCTTGTTAGGCTCAGTGTGTGACTGGCCCAAGGTCACCCATCAAGTTTCCAAGACAGATTGGGGATTTTCCAGATCTTAGCGGGAATAACCACCACACCACGCTGGTGCCCATCCCTCCCCACCGCAAGCACTCCGGTCTACAAACTGTGGTTTAATAAAGCCCAGAGCGATGACTTCTGAAACGAAGAGTGAATAACAGCATCTTGTTTCTTTGCAGGCGAGGAATCACACGCTGGACCCCGAGAGCAGCCAGTAGGCACCCCGAAGCACCGTCATCCCTTACCCAGCATCCCCTTTCCTGTGTTTTGTATTTCTTTCAATGCCTCCAAGCTAGTGGTGCGCCAGGTCAGTCAGTTACGTCAACACTCAGTGCTGGTGCAGAGAAAAGAGCAAGGGTTGCGGCCCAGCCTCACCAGCACCCTTCTCTGCTCTGGAAGAGAGACAGGGAGAGAGAGAGAGAGAGAGACTCATAGGACGTTAAGAAGGAGAGGAAGCAATGTGTTCTTTGTTGTGAAAACTTAAATATGCTCACCTGGGAAGAGGGTGGGGAAAGCAGGCGATGGGACTGTGCAACCAAACCAGCCCACCATTAAACAGAAATAAAAGCAGTTGCAGTCTTCTATGGCTATGATGTATTGTTTAGGTGTACCAGCTAAGTATCCTGAACAGCCACTAATCTTACTGTCTTCTGTCAGATCAGAGATCTTTGCATTCTCATTTCATGTCTTATTTATTAAAACATTTATATCCTGCCTTTCCTTCTGGTTCAGGGAGGCCTAGAAGAAGAGTTGGTTTTCATACCCCCCCTTTCCCCTACCCTAGAGTCTCAAAACAGCTTACAATTGCCTACCCTTCCTTCCCCCCACAACAGGCACCTTGTGAGGTAGGTGGGGCTGAGAGAGTCTGAGAGAACTGTGACTGGCCCAAAGTCAAAGAGTCCACTCCTCATAAACACTACACCACACTGGCTCTCTTAACCACTACACTATGCTGGCTTACAATAGTGAAAAACATTTTAATTATTCAGTCTCCTGCACGGACCTGGGGGTTGGCTACTTCCTAGGATCTGTGTCTCGAAAACTACAGGCTAAATGACCAAACAGAGAACTTAGCTAAGACGGAGGATGGTCAATAATTTGATCCCAGTCTGTGAAACCCAAAACAGCCTCGTGTAGGCGGCAGGGTACTGTAAAAAAAAAAAATCACCTCATAGCATCGTCCTTGAACAACAAACGGAGGAGTGCTTTTATCTGACTACCTGATGGAAGTATTTTTGATCTGATCAAAGGCCTGATATTAAATGCTCCGTGCCTGCCTGGTGGGCCGCGTCTTCCTCTAGCAGTAGTAAGAGCCCTTCACAGGTGGCGTCTGCCACATGCTCCACCCACAAGCTTCCTAGCAAGGCTGTTCTGGGGGCAGCCATCTTGATAAAGAGGGCCTCATCCTCAGCCAGGGTCAGCATCAGCCTACTGTGAGGTGGGGCAGCTGCCAGAGCCGGCTACTGTCACCTTCCCTCTCCCCACTTGCTACAGCTCCTCCACCACCCATGCTCCAAATGTTCGCATTGCTAGTGTGACTGGAGAAAGGACTGCGGCCGGTGCAGGCGGTGGTGGGAGTGCTTACAAGCGGGCAAGGGAAGAACACACACACAGGCAAGTGGGGCCAATGCAGATGGGTGGGAAAGAAGGAAGGTGTGCGGGGAAGGCCTGGGGGTGAGGAGAGGAGAGGGCCCCAAGAACTCTCTGCCTGGGACCCATCAAACTTGGCCCTGGCCTAAGTAATGGCTTTAGAAGTGTTCCCCCATTGTGTTTATCTAGCACTGTCCAGGGACCTACTCCCCTGACCCACAAACAGGGCTGCCAAGTCTCGTTGAATCGCGGTGGGGGAATCGTCATTCTTTACAGGAGCTCTGCTGCGGGGGATGGCAACAGGCGTTGCACCGCCGTCGCCAGGATGTGACCACTGCTCCCTCTAAGCTGAGTTAGTGTGAGCTAGCTCACAGTTTTTTAGCCTCTGGCTCACACATTTTTGTCTTCGCTCAAGAAGGATTGCTCCAGAGCAAGCTAATTTATGCGGCAAACAAATCGCTCGCTCACAACTTTAATGCCAGTAGCTCACAAAGTAGAATTTTTGCTCACGAGACTCTGCAGCTTAGAGGGAACATTGGATGTGACGCTACGCGTCGCTCTGGCAACGGGGCTGATTGGAGTCCCGTTGCCAGAGCGACGCATAGCGTCACAGTCTGGCGACGGCGGTGCAATACCTGTTGCCGTCCCCCGCGGCAGAGCTCCTGTAAAGAATGACGATCCCCCGCCGCGATTCAACGAGACTTGGCAGCCCTACGGCCACAAACCATTTTAAAATGTTCTTTTAAAAATATTAAAAATGTAGAAAACCTCAACCACCCCTTAGGGACATCTAAAATCCCCCAACGGAGGTACCCTCTCACTTGCCTGGCTAATACACATGAGAGCATTGTATCCCTATCAATGTTCCCTCTCACTGTGGAGTCTTGTGAGCAAAAATTCTACTTTGCGAGCTACTGGCATTAAAAGTTGTGAGCGAGTGATTTGGTTGCTGTATACATTAGTTTGCTCTGGAGCCATCCTTCCTGAGCTAAAAAAAAGTCTGTGAGCTGGAGGCTAAAAAACTGTGAGCTAGCTCACACTGACTCAGCTTAGAGGGAACACTGATTCCCTATTAAAAACATCCTAGGCCAAATTCAGTGTGCTGAGGATTCAGTTCACTCACAGCTAGGCTTACCAGTACCTTTTTACCACTCCCCCTTCCTAACCCTAGTACTTTACAGGGTGCTTTACCAGTGCTCCCTTCCTCCGCACACAAAAATAATTATTTTCCTCCATACATGGACTCCCTTTCGATTTCTCAGCCCCATATAAAACACCACAGTGAAATACGAAAATCAGAGCCAGAAACTGTGGATTAGATTAGCACAGGCTAGGCCTCTTATTAAACTCACCCACAACCCCTAAATCAATCTCCCAAACAAAACTAAGCCTAGCTATGTAGAACAAAACCCTCATAATCTTTCCGATATCCCCAACTTTCTTGGTTCCATTACCAAGCACCAATTGTAGAACGTACACACCTTGGGGTGGGATAGGCTGCAGCCTCTGTAAAACACGATGCATATTGATATTGGATAAACAAGGAAAACATAACTACCCTGCTTTTCTTTCCAGAATGACAAATTCTCAAAACATGGCTGCGAGAGCCACAAGATAATCAGATTCTAGTAAATCTGGCCCAAGTCTGGACGTGCTTGGAAGTCATGTAAGAGATACTTATTGCACATTTAACCTAAAGCTAGGTACCAGCCTCTGCTAAAGCCACATACATGACTCTATACCATTTACTGGTGTGCACTTCACTTCTGCAGGAAGGAGCCCAGTTTTGTTCTAGGTAACCAAGTGGAGGTGACCGTTTCAACTACAGAAATTTATTATTTCTATCGTTTGTCTGGGGGGTGGGGAACCCAAAAAACCCTTACAAAATAACCCACTCCATAGACCAGTTAGTCAGTTTGCAACAACAAAAATGCTTTTTTAAAGTAAAAGGAAAAGCAACTTGGTTTAACTGCCTACTTGAGAAGAAACTCCCCAAAGTGTAGGCATTTTTCTTGCTTTTTAGCAAGGAATTTTTTTTTTAAGTAAAACATTTCTGCAAATTTACTGTCACCTTAACTCAAACCATGACTAGTTGGGAAGAAACTCTTTTGAAATTACTGAGACTTCATCTCAGGTAAGAGGAAGAACACACACACGCCATTCTTTTGATCAATGCATTTTTTAAAAAACAACATTCTTTTTAATGCATCACATTTAAAAGACCACAACCAAGTGAGAAGGGAGCTGGGGAGGAGTCAGTCCATGAAATGTGCATTTCAGAACAAAAAGCTCAGACAAAAAAGCTGGAAGTCAGCCTGCTACAAACAACCAATTATGTTAATTGCATCACAGAAATATATAATAACAATAATAATAAAAGATCTTCCACGTTTCTCCTAAGTCTATGGGAGCAACCTACAAAACAACAGGTATCCAGTGGTTTTTCAACAGATGGCAGGAGACGCCATTCATTATTCCTGGTTTTCACAAGGATTTCTGAAACCTGTTCACAAATGTCCTTCAGTGCAGTTTTCTGGAGTTGCCAGCCCTGCTGTGAAAGGCGAATGCCAGTGGATTCAATAACCAGCCAGAGGAAATGTGTAGTCGGTTCCCCATGGAGAAGTCACAAGCTGGGCGGCAAGGGGGCTTGCAAAGAAAGCAGATAAGGAGCAGTGCCCCAAACCGGAGCTGCAGATCTTCGGATTACGGATCCCTCGGTACAGCAGATTCCCAGAGAGGGAGATGGCTGGAAAGCGGGCGCCTCTGCCGCTCCTAATGGGCACTGGACACCAGCGCAGCGTTTAGCTGGAAACCACAATCTGGTTTTAAGCGGTAACAACAGGAGGCTCAACCGCCTCCTCTCTCTCTGACGGCTCTTGGGTATCGGCGGTTCTGCGCTTAACCGCGCGCAGGAGGCTTTGGCGCAGCAGCGGGTAGAGGCGCTGGCAGCCGTCGAGGCCGAGGCGCACGGCTTGCGCCCAGCTGTCGGGTGGGCCTCCCTCGCCGCTGCCCAGCAGTCCCGAGACCTGGTTGAGCGAGGGCAGGAGCGCCACGGTGAGGCGGGCGGCGGCGGCGCGCTCCTCGGGCTCGCTGGGCTGCAGCAGCCACTCGCCCTCCGACGGCGCCCGGCAGAGCGCGCAGGCCACCACGAGGTCGTAGAGCTCGATGCCGGCGTCGGCCAGGGCCAGGCCCGCGGCGCACAGCGCGGCCGCCAACGCCGAGCCGCCGTCCTGCAGGAGCAGCGCGCTCACGTCCACCTGCGCCCGCGGGTAGCGCGCCAAGCGCACGGCCGGCTCCAGCGCCTCTTGCAGCGCCAAGCTCAGCTCCGGCTCCCGGTCGCTGGGCCGCCCGCGGGCTCCGCGCCCGGAGAAAGGCGCCCGCCGGAACTCGAACAGCGGCTGCAGCGCCGTCGGGTCCCGGTGTGCAGCCCCTGCCGGCGGCGGCTCGCTTTCCTTGGCTCCCGAGGGCACGAACAGCAGCGGCGCCTGCGACTCCTCCGGGCCGGGCACCCGTCTGTGGTCCAGCGGCATGGCCTCTCCGCGGACCGCGCGCCTTGCTCCGGAAGGGAAGGAGCCGGGAGCCGCCCACCAGCCTGCCCGGACGCGCCCTCTGCTGGTTCCCGCTCTCACTTAGACACGGCAACAACCGGAGCCTTCCGGCGGACGCGATTGAAGGACTCACAACATACATCCCACTGTGCATTTGCGTGACTCAGAGCTCCCTTCGTCGGATGCGTGAAGCATACATTCCACTGGCAGATATATTTAGACGCCCAAAGCTACAAACAAGATGTTGGAATAAATGTTCGAGTTCAGGGGCACCTGGAGTTGCCAGGTCCTGCCGGCTGCTGGCAGGGGATGAGACATAGGGATGCCAGCCTCCAGGTGGGAGCTGGGGATCCCTTGGAATTACAGCCCATCTCCAGACTACAGAGGCAGTTCCCCTGGAGAAAATGGATGCTTTGGAGGGTGGGCTCTGTGGCATTGCATCCCACTGAGGTCCCCGTCCTCCATTCCCAAATCTCCATGAACTGTAATTCTTGGGGATCCCCATCTCCCACCTGGAGGCTGGCATCCCTATCAACAAAGTTTTATTCAAGGTATAAGATACATTGAAATGGAAGTTACCAGTCCATAAGTATAGGTAGAGGGTGAGCAGCAAATCAGCATACAACATAATGATGTTGAATAGATGCAAGGACCAAACAGGAATAACAAGCTTAGTTTAATATGGTCACCATTTGTTTGGATTTAATTCTGGGGGAAGCAAACAAATATATCAGAATTGGAGATTGATGTGTAAATCTATCCTTATTAAGGGTACATTTACAAATCAACCTCCAATTCTGATTTATCTGCTTTCTCCAGAATTAAATCCAAACAAATGGTGACCATATACACTAAGCTTGTTATTCCTGTTTGGTCCTTGCATCTGTTCAGCATCTTCATTATGTTGTATGCTGATTTGCTGCTCACCCTCTACCTATACTTATGGACTGGTAACTTCCATTTCAATGTACCTGAAGAAATGTGCATGCACACAAAAGCTCACACCTTGAATAAAACTTTGCTGGTCTTAAAGGTTGCTTCAGACCAACACGGCTATCTATCTGGAATAAATGTTGGTAGTTTTTAAGGTGCTACTGGACACAAGACTCCCTTTTGCTTTGCCAGTCTGTGCCCACGTCACTTTCCTTTCCAGAACATCCATAATTTTAGCATCCTTCTGAGAGGCACTGTTAGAAAATTTGGCCTGCAGCTCTTTAATAGAAGCCCAAATACCAATAGTTAATAGCAGCCAGAGGTGATGGGAGATATCAGCACGCATCCACTTTGCAGGCAGTGGTATTTCTGTTGGGACAGCAGCCTCAGTTCCAGCAGCTTCCTCAGGATCATTCCTACCTCCTTCATCTATTCCCAAGAAGCTGTGGCCTCAGCTACCTGTGGGAACAGCAGCACAACGCGAGTTTGGTCCTCACCCACCTATTGAAGAAGACTGCTGATAGAGTTGTCTGTTGAGTCTAAGGAGTCTATAATGAGTCCAGTGTCACATCCCCTGTGTTTCTGCACTTCACAGCATGGAGGGAAACAAAACAAACCCACCCCCCATGACTCCCCTTCCCTAGTCACGTCCCAGCCAAACACTCTTGTTTCTGAACTGAAACACTCTGAACTGTTTCAACTGCTCTTCACGTGCTTCGGGCACCCAAATATTTTCATGATTGATCACTATTAGGGATGGGCATGAACTGGACCACGGACCAAATGTTTCCATGGACCGGGGCCTGGTTCATAGTTCGTTTGCCTGGTTTGTGCCCTCCTGGTTTCCACAGGCCACCCAGGGTTTTCCAGGGGGTTGTTTGGTCTGTGGAAGTCAACTCAGAAGGCATTTAAATGCCTTCTGAGTCGACTTCTATATCATGCCGGCATGGTAGCACAACGGCTGTGACTTCCAATTTTACTTTCACATGGCATCACCACTGCGGTGGTGGGCTTGCAAAAGCCATTTAAAGGGACGTGTTCCCTTTAAATTGCTTTTGTAAGCTCCCCCCATCACGAACCATAAACTGGTTCATAAAATGGAAACGTTCATGAACCACGAAACTCCATTTTTTTGGTCTGTGCCCATCCCTAAGTTCATGAACCACGAAACTCCATTTTTTTTGGTCTGTGCCCATCCCTAATTGCTATCTATCCTTCTGTGGAAAAAAGGAGAAGTTACAGTGCTCAAAATTCAGCTATGGAATTAAATTTACAAATATTGTTGCACTTTTTTGATGTTAATTTTCAGAAGCTTGGGGAGAGTCTAGTGGTGCAGTTTGGATTCTGACCGTTTGTGCGTGAGCTGCTGTGAGTACTGCTTAATGCAGAGGGCCCCAACATGGTGCCCACAGGCACCAACATCTTTCCTGGCACCTGCTGAGTGTTTTTAGAAAGCGGGAGGGGGTTAGGTGGGGCTTTCGTCCAGCAGAGCTTCTGATGCCCCCCTGGAGATTTGATCGGCTGTGCCGATTTTTAAGAATTTGCCGCAGGAGGCAGAGTCAGCCTGTGGCAGCCATTTTGTGGCTGCGCCCACCACACTGTGTCTGAATTCCAAGGGTACCCAGAGACTCAAAAAGGTTGGGGAGTCCGGACTTAATGCATAGAAATGCAGGCTTGGAATCTGCAAAACAGAACATCCACTGTAGCCTTCCACTCTCAGGATATGCTACGTTATTCACTCCCTTCCCCCTTGCTGTTTGGGAAACAGACGGATATAGACACATAATATGCACCATTTGCCCCTGCAGGTGGCATTCCTTATACAGCAACAGCTCACACGCACACTTTGTTTTGGTAGCCACAAATGCCCGCAGACACACTTTCATCTGTTCTTTTATTTAGCACTCAATCTAGCGGCCACAGTTCCTCATGCCGGGGCGAGTGAGTCCACCTAAGGCTTTGCTACAAACAACGCAGGTTAACAGTACGACCAGCGGCAAGAGCAGCCAGAGTTACATGGATGAGGAAGGGATAAATAGCAGCGTTGATGTTTACCCCTCTGCCCAGTCGTGTGACAGCAACCGTCTCAAGTGCCCAAGGATGGACGGAGGTTGTGCGTGTTGAACCCTGGTCATGATGACTCTTTACACTGCATGGTGGGGGAGCAGCTCTGAGCACTGAACTTACAATCTCGGGAAGCAAATGACACAACTGCTTTACACACACACCCACACACACACACACACAAACTGAGACAGCTAACTGGCAGCAGGCATCATCGTGGGATGGGTCAGTTATTACTATGAGACTAGATTAGAATCTGTGCAGTGCTGGCATTTTGTCCTCCACCCGGGTCACTGCTCGAGCTGGTGAAGTTAGAAGGACAAGAACCCGTAGCCTGTTATCTCCATAAATGCCGCTAAAAAGTCAGCTCCAAACCCTATTGGCTGAGCAGACGTGGTATTCCCTTCTTCAGCGCGGGCCCGGACTGGGGTCAGTTCTTCAGCCCACCCAGCTTGAGCTTGGCAAAGTCTGTGGCCAGCTTCAGGGCTTCCTCCAGGCACTCGACGTTTTTGCCCGTCGCCTGAGCGGAGAGGTCCTTGCCGCCCCCTTTGCCGTCCATCAGTCCCGACACCTGCTGCACCCACTCGCTGGCTTTCAGCCCTTTGTTGGCCACTTCCTGGGAGACAGAAAGAGAGCGTGCCCATTAGGGGCGGTGGGAAAATGTCAAGTCACAGCTGACTCACGGCAACCCGTAGGGGTTTCAAGAAGAGACATTCAGGTTTGCCATTGCCTGCCTCTGCATAGCAACCATGGACTTCCTTGGTGGTCTCCCACCCAAGTACTAACCAGGGCTGACCCTGCTTTGCTTCCAAGACCTGATGAGATCGGGCTAGCCTGGGCCATCCATGTCAGGGCACATTAGACTCTCCCCTTTATTCCAAAACGGAGAGAGGCATGTTCAAGACTGACAGATCAGTTGTGGCACAAGCTTTCGTAGACTAGAGCCTGCTATGTCTGAAGTGTTCTTAGTTTCCAAAAGCTTCTGCCACAAAAAAGTCACTTTTTAGTGGTAATTTGCTGTAGCAGAGTCATGCATGCTTACTCTCCCCGACTCATGTACCAACTTAATCACTTTTGGCTGCTCCCACAACTTTTTCAGCTGCTGCAAGTTAATTACTTCTGCCAGCTTAAGCAACAGTTCTGATAACAAGTTGGCAGATAGGGGTGATGATTTCTATAGTTTCCAGAGTTAGAAGGGATCCTAGAGGTCACCTACTCCAACCCCCTTGTTTAATGTGGGAATTATTCAACTACAGCACCCCACTCTGCTTAAGGGAGTATACACCTTTAAAATTGTTTAAAATGATTGAAAAAAGCATTTACAGGAGAAATTCCTGTGGGGCTATGCTATTAAGAAAGGGGGCAGAACCCCCCAAAGCCCCACCATAGCTACAGGCCTGCCCCTCTGGAATATTATGCCTTTCCCTGATGCTGCTGGGAAGAATCGAGAATGCTGGCAGCCCTGCAACACTGAACTGGGGACAGTACAAGAAGACTCTTGAAGGAAACAGCCACTCAAAAATGACCCTCTTACAGATAAACGTTATCAGTGAGTGACCGGTAGCTGGCACTGCATACAAAAGCTTTGAATTGACAAGATTTGACAGTGGCCAAAAATACGAAGTCCACTCTCACAATTCCACAGCTATGAATGGCCTTAGAAAAAAGGAAGGTGGCCAGCTCCGGGTTTGGAAACACCTGGAGATTTTGGGGGTGTAGCCTGAGGAGGGCGGGGTTTGGGGAGGGGAGGGACTTCAATGAGGTATAATGCCATAGGGTCCACTTTCCAAAGCAGCCATTTTCTCCGGGTGAACCGATCTCTCTCATCTGGAGATGAGTTTTAATAGCGGGAGATCTCCAGCCATTGCTTGGAGGTTGGTGGCTGGTTGGGCTTAGACTTGAGCCGGCTGAAGTTGAATCCAGCGAGTCGGGGTGGTTTGGGGGTAGGGATCCCACTCCCGACCTTCGGGGGGGGGCCTCCACTGGTGCCAGCACCGGAGAT